GGTATAGATTTTTCAGTAATAATGTATGGTTATCATTTCATTGAAAGAAAACGTGTAAATAATATCAACTCTTATTTTCCCGTTAGTGATACTTTCTGCTTCGCGACGTAGAGGTGACTGACCCGAATCAGTACTTTACTTTTTTTCTTACTATTTTATTTCTAAATGTTAGCCGAATAAAGGAACCGAAACTGGAAAGGAGGAAAAAGTATAACATAGCTTTTTGTAAATCTAAACTAAGCACGAGAAACAAAATAAAAGAGTTAAATAAGAACTGTTTAGTAGTAGTAGAAAAAGTGAAATAAAACTATTTACATTATATATATGATTGTCTGAGCTACATATATTATTTTGCCGAGTGCTTTAATTAATTATTTCATATTTTTACAAGCACCACGTCTTGAATGACATTTTGTCGAACAAAACACTCCTTGTTTTTTACATGGACAATGTTTTGTATTACACTCTCCTTTACAATCACACGTTTTACCGCTGATAGCGCCGCGAACAAATAACTTACATGCTTCAGTAAATGTAATTCCATCAAGTTTAGAAAAATCAACACTTTTTAATTGGGTTGGACAGGATGATTTTAAATCAACAAGCGATTCAACAGTATACAAATTTTGTATCTCACCAAATTGACAAACTAACCGAAAAACAACATCACTCTCTTTTGTTACTTTCGAAATAATCAAACATGGTAGTAATTTGGCATCGGTATTCGTTCTATCAACCGAATCTATCCGAAGACCAACACAATCACCAACATTGTACTGTTCTGCTAAATTTGCTAAATGTTCATCATACTGTTTACGCTTTTTATTAGCAGTATTCAAATAATTCGTTTCGGCTCGTTTTCGTACTAGATCATGACGAGATGGTGAAACGGCAACGTTGGTCGAAGATGGTGGAGCGACGAAAGGTGTAGAAAAAGCTGGTGGTAAAGATAGTTGAATATTGCTATCTATTAAAATTGAAACTAATTCTTGACATTTGGATGGCGTTGTAGATGGCGAAGTCATCGGGTTATCAACAACCGATGAAGGTGTATCAAGAAAAATATCCAAATCAAGAAGAAGATTCTCAACAACTGATTTTATAACAGGTACTTCTGGCGAAATAGATTGAATTAATGGACTGAAATTCAGTTTAAATACTGGACTAGTTGGCATACGAGATGTGATAGAAGAAGTAGGTGGAGGCAGCGTTGGTGAATCAAACCAAATTAAGTTATCGATCAGCATGTCGTCTAACAGAAGATTGTCGACTGTTGGTATATCATGAAAATCATTTGGACGAGTAAACGACAAATCAAGAAGACAATTTTCATCTGAAACATTCAACAGTTTATGAACAGTACCGATAGGCACAACCGAACTTGACTGATTTATTGCTACATCAACAACAACATCTTCGCCGTCTGTGTCTTCTTCAACCGGTGTTGGCAGTTGATCTTCATGTTGGATATTCTGCTCACTCACGAGTTTCCAAAATTCTGAATCGGATCGTGGACGTTGCCCGAACATAACTTCATAAGGCGTACATTTCGTTGTCTGCGATACACGAGTATTAATACCATAAGTAACTGGTAATAGTCCTTCTGACCAATTAGTTGAGTTATTCACCGATAACCATTTACCTAATGCAGACGTCAAAACTCCATTCGCGCGCTCAACACAACCCTGAGACTGAGGATGACGCGGACGACCTCGCACAAGCGTCATTTCTGGAAACAACTGTTTTAATTCAACGATAACCGTAGCAACAAATTCAGTGCCATTATCAGAATGCAGTAAACGTGGAGGACCGAAAACGAAAAACAACTCTTTTAAACGACGAGCAACTTCATCAGCGGATTTACTTTTCAACGGATACGCCCAACTAAATTTCGAAAAGTGGTCGACACAATTCAATATCCACAAATACGTAACATCAACCGACACAACATCCGGACGTGTTCTCATGTCAATGAGATCGATTTGTAACCTTGTCATAACACCTAACGATATAATTGGTTTTGATACAACTGGCTGCTTGACTGTTTTTCGTAATTGACAAGCAGAACAATGTTTGAGAAAAATTTTCACAATAGGTGTTGGAATCCAAGAATAGTTCGCTGTAATTTCGGCCATGGTTTTGTCTCTTCCTCCATGTGCAACTGTAGTATGACATTCCCCGATAATATTAAAAAAACTTTCGTATACACAAACTGGTTTATTTGTAGTTATACAACACAAAACATCAATACCCGCTATTTTTCTCACAACAAAATTCTGCTTTGACCAATAAACAAATTTCGGAGAAAAACTGTTTGATGACTTTCCTTTTTCCAGTCCTAATGCTTTCATAATACTTTCTAGCGTGCTTTTTGTTATTACTTTTTTTTCTCGAAATTTTTTGTTTAATGAGTTAATATAAGCCTCGACGTCTTCGAAAAATAATTTTTCACTGTCAGCTACAGATTCAACAGTAGTAATAGCTGAGGCCGAAGCCATTTCAAGAAATAATAAAATGTTTAACCAAAACGAATGTAACGATTTTTAAAGTTAGAGATGATGTGATTTATGCTGTGACTTCTGCCTTATATATCATCCCAAAAAAGCTACCGGTTTAACGGTCAAAACGGACAGAAAGAAAGCTTTTTGAACGCAGTTCACATAAGATCAAAGGCGGTGAGATGAAAGTGAGAGGGTCGACAAAGAAAATTGACATCTTTTATGCGTTTTTTATAATTGTCAGCTCTGCTACCTTCAAACGTGTCTTTAGTTCGTCAGGTCGTATGTCGAAAACACGCGAATAACGTAGATTTTGTTCACGATATATTATTAATTAGAAACTTTTTAGCACAGATGCTTTGTTCTAATTATTTCTTGTTACACAAATTGAAACTCAAAAACAAATGTGTGCTCGATATAAGATTCAAATAAATCCTTTGAGTAATCTCAGGTATCTAAGATTATCCAA